GTGTATGGAACAGGCGTAATGGAGTCATTCGAGCAGGACTTTACGAAGCTATTGGAAGAAACTGAAGACAGTTCCATGAGGTGGGTAGTGGTATTTTCGCCCACGGGATGCGAAGCCATGCTTCGTGGATTGGGTCGTCTTGATCCAGAAACGGGCAGAGCGAGAGCAGTGGAGCAATCGAAATCGAAGACCACATATGTTGCTACCATCGGGCCCACTACCAGAGACTTCTTGCGTAACTCTTTCGGGTACGAACCAGATGTTTGTGCTGAGAAGCCAAGTCCTGAGGGCGTGGAGACCGGCATCAGATCATTTTTGAAAATCCAATGTTAAAAGTGGTCAAATTTGGTTTCACATTTTCGGAATAATTGCTTTGAGAATTTCTGGTAAGTATGATTTCTACATTCAAGTTGCATCAAATTCGAACTATTTGAATACTGCCCAGTTTAACCCCACTCACGGACTCCTCGAATACTATTTACATGATGCGTGCTGTGGGTGTGTCAGATGCTTTACCCGGAGTCCAATTGCAGTCCAATGTCCCTTTTGCCGTTGCTCCTTCTTTCTCCATACTGCCAAGTTACCTACGGCCGGCTAATCACTCGATCATGGAAAGATGTATGTGTCAAGTTCTATTCTTGAAGATATGCCGAATGCTACATCACGGTTTCTGATTATTACATGATTTTGACCCAAATGACGCTCGTGGAAGCAGGGGAGAATAACTCATATGAGCTATCGCCAGACCAGCACAGACATATCTATGAGGCATCCTCCAACGGCCAGGGTGGCATTGCGATGCAAAAGCAATCTGAGGATGATCTGCTCGCTGTCCATTATAAGAACATTGACCTCTCAAAGAAATCCAAGCATGCAATGAGAGAATTTGTTCTCCCAGTCGCCTATGCCCCTTCAAGCTTGTCTTTAGATGAACTCCAGAAGGTACCTGTTTCCAGTTGTAAACAGCTTCGAACACAGTTAATGGAATGTAGATCTCATTAAAAGACTTGAAGCTCGAAACTCATCATCGGGGTGGCTTCATCACAGGGAGGACAATCGTCCATCCCTATCAATGTTCAGAGATCATTACGATTATCAAAGGAGATGGCGGTGATATTGTCACCCTGATTCTGGGGTTCGAAGACGACTTGTATTCAGGCAACACGTATTCCCTGCCTATAAACAGTACAGTGGCTATCAAGGAACCTTACTGCAAGTATAACGGTGATGGAGACTTTGTCATTCGTGTTGATCACCCCTCTGATATCGCCGTCCTGAGGGGTGATGATCCTACTGTATCGATGATTATGCAATTTGCTTCAGGAAGCATTGAGATAACTCCTACTCAGTGGCGGAATGCTGGAGATAAAGCGTACTTGGAGAAGGAGTACTCCTCAGCAATTGAATGGTAAGGCTCCAATTCCTTGTTACGGCCTCAACACCACCAGCTAAATTCTTCAGCTACACCCAAGCGCTCGACAACGCACCCATAGGCGACATTTTATTCGTCTAGGACACGTATCGGAAGCGTTCCTTCGCAAACCTCACTGCTAAGTCATACATGCCCGCAAAAGGAGATGCGCTCGCCTCACTTTCAGGAAATATCCTTGATGTACGAGCGTATCACAGTGCCGGACTCGCCGCCTACTCATTAAGCCTCTACTCAGAAAGCAAACATACTTCGAACGAGCCTTCAACTTGCGCCTTATGATGTCAAAAGCCGGAAGGAGCTCCTCCGGGCCGAAACGAGGATCCACGAGCAAGAAGATGGAGTTTATGATTTTGCTTCAATGGTCCAGTCAGTCTCTAGCGGTATCATCCACCTCAATCACGCCACGTACAGCAACTCCGTCGAAATCCGATCCGCAGCAGGCCGTGGGCGGGGATTATTCTCAACGGCGTTCATCAAAGCGGGGAGTTTGGTGCTGTGTGAAAATGCGTTTTGCTTGCCTGATATGTATTGTGAGGATAAGCCGAAGGATGTGATATTGTATAACTTCAATTCGAGTTCGAGGACACAAAGACCGGCACAGGCGGCGCTCTTTTTACAGTTGAGACAGAAGCTTTACGGGGATCTTGGGGGTGGTGAGAATGAGAGGTTTTGGGATTTAGATGCGGGCGGTTATGTAAGGTCTGGGAAGGAAGGGGTTGTTGTGGATGGTGTGCCTGTTGTTGATTCGTATGTCTGATCTGATATCTCACTGTCCTCAGTATCAGTACTTTAAATTTTCCGACTTGAACTAATCACTTTGCAGGTTCCTGATCGAAGCTATCCGTCTCAAAAACTGCTTCAGCTGTCCTCGTCTCTCACTGGACCTCTTACAAGCACACCTGTCAACCCAACCCTCAGCACCTACCCTCCTCTCCACCGGCCTCTGGATAAAAGCATCCTACATCAACCATTCCTGCCTCCCAAACCTCACCCGCGCCTTCATAGGCGACATGATGCTCATTCACGCCAACAGCGACATCCCTCCCAACACCGAACTCACACAGCAATACCTCGCACCCGAAGCCCATTTCCTCACTCGCCGCAAGGAGTTACCTCTCCACTGGGACTTCGCATGTGACTGTCCTCTCTGTTCCACAGAAGGCAAATCGCCAGATGAGATGCATCAGCAACGTCGCGACCTCGTCACCAAAATCAAAGACCAGGCCCTAAAAGCCCAGAGTCAACATACTAGCCACCATATGATTCCAAACGGCACGATCAAGACCATCGAGCGTCTGACGCGCAAACTTGAGGAGTTGCATGAGTCGGATGTCTACGCGGATTTGCCAAGATTGTTGCTGGTGCATCCTAGTATCTGGCTTACGGACGCTCACCACTCGAGGGGGAATCATGCGAAGGTTGTTACGTACGCGTTGGAGATACTGAGGAATTTTGGGTTTGTGGACCCTGTTAAGGAGGGGAAGTTGTGTTTGGCTGGGCCTGGGAGGGGGATTACGAATTGTGAGAGTTTTAGTGCGCTGAGGGTTGCCGCGGAGGCTTACAAGGCGTTGGGGAATAGAGAGTTGGCGGAGCAGTGTGAGGAAGCGGCGAGGGGGATGTTCGTTGCGCTTACGGGGAGTGAGGTTGGTATTGATTATGTTTTTGGTGGAGATAGGTCAGAAGAGATGCGAAATACCGCAATTCTTTAAGTAGGTTCTTTCTTAAGAGGAAATTATCTGAGTGCTTCAGTTCTGCAGGTCTATGACATCTTCGTTTGTAATCTTGGAAATGTGTTGCACACTGGTTTGTTTGTCACGGGGCTCGCTTAACCCTGCTCAAAACAACTCAACGGGCAAGGGAACGGCCCCTTTTCATAAAATCTCATCGGGAGCCATCCAGTCAAGCAAAAAATCAAAACAAAATTGACCATGTTGGTCTGGCCCTCCTGGAGCCAGGTAACAATTGGAGTTATTGTTTGGGTCATTGACTTCAATAGGATTTAAACCTATATCTCACAACAGTCAGCCAGATGAAGTGAGGGTTGTGCTGTCCAAAATGTCACTTTTGATTTATTTGATACTTGAAGTTATTTATTTATTAAAGTTTTTAAGCTGACTGGAAGTGAATTGTAGTTAATACCTAGCTGGGTGAGGCAGCCGCCAGCAACATTTTCCCACAAAGGTACTCAAGTAAGCAACCAGGCAAAGAACAAAGACTCAAGGAGAGGAGGTATAAACAAGCGAGATGAAATGAACAATGAATAAAGAAACTTGGAGCAAAAATTGAAATCTTGAAATACAAAAATAAATTGGACCCTGCCGGACAAGTCATCACACCCAAAGGAATGCAACGACTTGCCCAGCTCGGGTCGTGGGACCTCATTAGAATTCGAACCTAACTTTCACAGCGCTCCAATTAAATGCTGTGTGTGCGACCATTACACCATGAAGTCTTTTCGAAGTTAATTGATGAAAGAGAGTGATTATTTAGATCCATGGAATGAGTAAATAAATGGCACAATAAAGTATAGCCTATGCCTGATAAGGAACGAAAAGTAAAATGGTGAGTTTAACACTAATTACACAATAAAGTATAAGGGGTACTCAGGCATCAAACACACTTTACTTTCGTTTCTCGTTTGGGTTCTGAGGGCCGATGTATCGTTTCTCACCTAGTCTTATCACCCGATGGCCGCACTCTGGGCAAATTCCCTCTCCTTCTCTCAAGTCCGTGGTGCCCTTCCAGCCGCATTGCGTGCATTCGGCCGTCCAACCATAATTTTTAGGATTATCATGGGGATTAGTCCGTTTTGGGGGCTGTCTCTTGCTGCTGCTACTCATCTTGATTAATTGATTGATTGATTGATTAGGCTTCGACGACGTGGTTCGATATAAGCCCAAAGTGGATATGGGTGTGGTGGATGTATGGATATGTGTGTTTGATGAGCAATTTCCTGATATTTATGGCTACCTCCATTGTCTCATATACCTTCCGCACAACGCCTGTTTCTTATTGATACTATGGAGTTGAACACTTAATCACCATTTAATAAGAGAGGTAGTACAACGTAAGGTACGAAGGGAACTCTAGCTTTGAGAAATCACGAATTGATTAATTCTTAAGATATTACATGTTTAAAAAGTACAAATTATTAAAAGAAACGAAGAAAGAAATATTTATTAAATAAACTATAGGATATTCTACGTGCCGCTTTAAAGGATATAAGTGTTAACTCCTTATATGTCGCTCGGTCAAGTGACAAAGAAACAGCTAAGGGTCCTACCCACCACAATACCCTGTTTCGTACTCGACAAAAGTTGAATATATTACTTGAAACTAATTTGAGTTAATATTGTTTTTCAAAATTGAAAAGTGCGAAACACTTCAAAAGGAGAAAAGGGGATGGGTGGGTGGGCTGAGCTAAGTTGACTTTGTCAGGTACACTTAAAAGCAAGCCCTTCAATGATTGTGTTGACCTTCTCAATAGCAAAAGATTACTCAAAATGAAAACATTTGACTTAGCAGCAAAAACAAATAGGATCCAGTACCTCTGTAGTGATATGGAAATGGACTCCATTAGGAATCGAACCTAAATCTCACAGCGTGATTCTTTTAGCTATGCGTGCTACCAATTGCACCATGAAGTCTGTGTTTATGTTGTTTGATAAGAGGGGTTGGTTATTTGGGTAGATAGAGGGGATATTGATGTGTTTCTTTTGGTTTGAGAGGACAGAGGGGTGAATTGTGTTGATTTGGAAGCGAGGGTGAAGGAGAGGCTTGGCGGCATCGGGTTTGAATAAGAACGGGTCGGAGAAGTCAAGAAAAGTTTAAAAATATAAGTTTAAAAAACTCCCCTTGCAAAGTATAAGGATATCTCATTCCGTAAATTCTAGCGATTCGAACTCCAAAAGAGGATTCGGAGTAACCTACGTGGTTCAGTAGACTTCAACATCTCCTACCTCGATGCAAAAATAAAGATAGTCACAAGGGCTTGAACGAGGATCGAACTCGTGTCTCACAGCGCTTAAAATTCAATGCTGTGCGTAATCCCATTATACCATCAAGCCTTTCCTTGTATTCTCTGTTGGAGGTTCTGCCTATTTCGAGTTTTATTGTTTGGTGGAAACGGGCGTGGGTAGGCAGCAGTGAGACTGCAGGGGGCGGGGTACTTTGTACAAACGAAACTCTTGGCATCTATCGTATCCGAACTATGGAAATGGGGAATGATAGGATGAGGTTTACGATAAGTTGGATGGGGATGAAACATATCACTTGGCTGGCTACTTGGCTGCTTTTCTGAGGGAGGTTAAATTTGCCATTATTTGGACGGCTTCAATTGGGGTTGGGGATCTTGGCTAATTATGTACCGAATAATAACTCGAAGAAAGGAGGGGAAGTGGAGGCGCTCAACTACAAACCTTAAAGTGCTTATCAGGTTTATCGCATTTGAACTCAATACGACTTTGGCGAGGTTTGTTGCATGTCGCAGGTCGACGTTCTTGTTGATTTCATCACCTTCCCCCCACACCCCCTCCCCTCTCCCGCCCAGTCTCGCTTATCAAAGTGGACCTCTTGCGACCTTTTGAGGGATCTCAACGACCTAAAACGACCTGTACAGCCAATCTCGAACAATACAGAGCGGGCCAATTAACTTCTCGAGAGATGAAACACTTCGATTCTATTCGAACACAAAAGGACGAATGGGAGATGTCTCGAAAAGCCATCAATCGTTGACAGGACGCCGAGGCGGAGCAGTTCCGCTGCGGCGTCCTATTGCACTGCCGGAGCCCATCCACGAAGTTTAACAAGCGGGAAGTCCAGTCAACTGGTAGACTAAGGGAGGCAAGCTGTTGGAAGGGAAGTGCCAGCGATTATGCGTGCCTTATCTAAAAGTCTGGTTGGCTGGTACTTACCGTGAGGTCGGATGTTGAGGCTGGCTGAGGCATGTCAATTCCGCAGCCTCTTGTACAGCTGTACGACATGTTGTTGCGGAGTATAGATAGGGAAGGTAGGTGGGCTGAGAGGGGAGGATAACTTGGTCTGAGGTTCTTTTCCAAGAGACTCTTCTTTTTAACTTACTTCTCTTACATCTCCTACATCGACACAAAGGAGAGATATTGAAATCCAAACCGCAAAGATGTACATGGCCGAAGTCCCCCGTTCGCACCCCTTCGTCTTCCTCCTCCTCGGCGTACAATACCACGGCCACACTCCCTCTGCCACAACCACAGCCACCATATCCCAACTAGAAACCCTCCTCAAAGACTCCGCCGTCCACATCGAATCCCTCGAACAATCCGGGCCCATCCCCTCCCTAGGCCGTTCCCGAGTCTGGCTCACATACTGGACATCTCCAGCCTCGCACGACGAATGGTGGACCTCAGCACCCGTCCAGACATTCTGGAACGCTTTACCGGATAACGCAGGAGTATGGCGAGAGAAACTCACTCTGCCCATGTCCCGCGTGCAGCTCGGCACGAACGTGACCTCCCCATCGGGATTCGCGCACCTGGGAAAGCTGGTGCCGAATACGACTAAATCGGGGTATTGGGGGTGTTATCGTGATAGGATAGAGGAGTGTACGGAGACTGAACGGTTGGAGTCTTCGTTGGGGGCGTTTCCTGAGAGGGGGGAGGTGAAGGGGGAGGTGAGGAGCGGGAGGGTGAGGATGGAGAGGTTCCCGGAGAATATTTGTGTGGTTGTTGAGGGGCAGGATAATAGTGCTATGGAGAGCGAGGAGAGGGAGCATTGGATGGAGAGGTTTGATGGCCCGGCGAGGAAGTGGATTGGGGATGTTGTGGGTGCGGGGGAGGAGGGGGGTGTGCTGGCGAGTATGTTGTGTTGTAGACCTGAGAGTGGGTTGTTGAGTGGGGAGTCTGGGAAGAAGGAAGGGGGGTTTGATACCCTGGATTATAATCGGAAGGTGCAGGTTTTGTACTTTTTGGATATGGGGTATATGGAGAGGATTGGGAAGAAGAATCGTGGGCATGTGAAGTTGAGGGGGAGTTTCATGGAGAGTTATTGTCCGGCTGGACCGAGTGAGTTGAACCTTTTTCTTTCATTCTTCTCTCTTTACTTTTTCTTTTGTGGTTTTTGGAGGGCCTGGAGAAGTTGGAAGTGTTTGGGTTTAGTGGCGCTTTTCAGTAAATTTGTGCTGACTATCATGATGAAGTGGCGAACGGGAAGCAGTTGATGTGGGTTGAGCAAGGTGTCTTGAAATCCAAGGATATTGAAGCGGAGTATATCGGATGCTATGATGGAACAGGATTCATGGCTTTTGAAGGGAAGCCTGGGTTTGTCGTCGATGAGAAGACAGGCGATGATGGATCTTGGAGCAGGTATTTGAAGAATCTGCTGGGCTGGGCCAAGAGCTCTGCTTGAGTCATGTTTTCCTGGAGCGAATAAAGTTGTCTTTCTGAATTCTACTGGGGAGTTACAATGAAGAGGTGATTCTTCATTTCAATGAGCGAATATTTTCAAAGCTTGATTAAACCTGAGAGACTAAGCGAAGCCAGGGGGAGGAAGCTGTTGATGCTTTAGTTGGCTCGGGCATGAAACCAGAAAGTGAGTATTTCCAAAAACCAAAAGCCCAAGTAGCATACCTGTGAAACTGCGCATAGGAATTGAAACTCATACGATGTTAAAAGCTAGGCTTCTGCCGTTCCTACAATATCGTGGCCAGCAATTGGGAATTGTTAACTGCATACGCGAACCCTTTTTCTATCTCGCGTAAGCCTGGCTAGGATCTACAGGCTAGCTAGGACTACTGTAAAATACTTTGATAATCTGGAACCGACCCCAGTCCTAAATTGTTAGGTAAGTACAAAAGCTGTGTTCTTTGGTAGACCCAAAATCTTATTGCGGAGGATGAGGGTTCACAGCCTGAATAATCTAAGCCTGTGAGAGCAGCCGAGGAGCCGAAGTACAACAACCAGGGTGCATGCATTCCCACCCCGCATTTGACCGATTTTCTTGCTTGACGGCTCTCCTTCTTCTCTTGGTACTTTTGTTACTAGTGACACATCAGATAATAATATGCGTCGACTTGTATGTTCAATGACGTGACACATCCAGGTCTCCTTAGAAGTCTGCTCGTGTTCAAAAATTCCAGCTAGGTTCTGGAAGGAAGGTGTTGGTGTAAACGCCACTATCTGTCTACCTAGGTACATATCCCGGTACACCACTTAATTACTTACTGTACTCGAGTACGTACCGACCGACCTTTCCTACCCTATCCTATCCTATCATCACAAAGAAACAAAATAAGCTTCTACCGTTTCCCTGTACGGAGTAGCTCGAGATAAATAAGCTCCTGCAAGCTTTTGCCCAGGGATGCGATGCGTCAAGAGTGGGCGGCAAGAACCTTCTCCTTCCTCATGCGGGCTAGCACAACGCAGGCCTGTGTCCATCTATCTCGCTTTGCCATGTAGCCGGCCGGGATTGGGGATGGATGCAGCTTATGCAGCTGCCCATTTGATCCTAATACCGGTCTGTCGTGCCCCGGCTCCTTCCTGTAGGATGCCCTTGTTGTTGTTCCTGTACCTGACTTGTCTGCAGGTAAGTAGACTTCTTACTCGAGGACACTACCAAGAGGGGCAGGTACTATAGCTACACATGCAAGCACACAAGCATACAAGCATGCTAGTCTTATGCAGGCAGGCAGGCAGGCAAGCTCCATAGCTACCTACCCAGCTGAGTGACTGACGATCAGACGGAATGGGGAATAATTAATCAGAAGGAGATAAATGGCAGCTTTTTCTCTTCCCTTCTCCCTCTTCTTCTTCCCCTCCCCCGCCTTCATCTCTCCCTTCTTCTTCTCCCCCTTCTCCTCCAGGTGTCAACAGCTTCATTCAATTGCAATTGAATCGTAGACCCCGACTGGATTACAAGCAAGATGTTTGTCAAGCTATCAGCCGTTCTGAGCTTGGCTGCTCTCTGCAATGCTGCTCCTTCCCCGATCAAGCATGTCCTCCATGAGGAGAGAGCTGTCGAGAGCCGAGATTGGGTGCGCGGTGCCAGACTCGAGAAGACTGCCATTGTGCCAATGAAGATTGGTCTTACCCAGACCAACTTGGAATTGGGTTATGACTACCTCATGGACGTGTAAGTATCTATCCTTCATCGCCTTTTACCTTCTTCTCCTTCATACAATACTTTCAAAGTCCAAACTGACAACTTCTAGCTCGAGCTCTGACTCCGAGAACTATGGCAAGCATTGGACCCCAGAACAGGTCCACGATGCTTTTGCTCCCAAGCAAGAGACTGTTGCGAGCATCACCCAATGGCTCACCGACTCCGGTATTCAAGATTCTCGCATCATGTTCTACGAGAATAAGGGTTGGATTGCGGTCGATGTGACTGTCGAGGAGATTGAGGAACTGCTGCATGCCGAGTTCCACGAGCATGAGCATAGCCAGACTTCGAAAGTTCGAGTCGGCACAGACAGGTATGCAGTCCTTTCAAGCTGCCCATTCCGTACTAACAGACCTCAGGTACCATGTTCCAGAGCATTTGGCTTCTCACATTGACTACATCACTCCTGGAATTAAACTCTCACCTGTCACCAAGCGAACCGTGGATAGAAAGACCAAGCGTGTCAGCCACTCCATCCACGCACCAGCTCACATCAGTACTCCAGCCACAGAGG